CTGCAAACTTCTGTGCTGTATGGGATAATAATTGATCGTGTACATAGCGCTGATCGCAACATCAGCTGGCTGTAAACAAGCAAATGGCGTTTCATTAATTTAATGATAATATAGTCTCTCGTTATAAAATAACGTATCTTACATAGGAGGAGTGTTTAATATTAATTGTACTTTAGATTTCGTCTCTTTATCTGTTCTGCGCTCTAATTCTTTCTTAGTATCGAGAGTATTAAACGTATTTAACTAAAAAGATTTTTAATGAAATTACGAAGGCGAGAGAGAAAGGAGAAAAAGAGAGAAATATATATATATATATATATATATGCTTTCGGACGTATTGTTCATTTTTCACAGCGATAAATTTTGTAATTATCGTTAACTTAAGATTAAGATCCGTTGGAGGGAACGAGCTTGCGATCGGTCATAGATATTGTGCAAAAAGGATTCTCGTGTGTTGTAAGCACACGTGCGTGTCGGAATTTCACAAGTGACGAGTCTCTCGCGCGCTGAACGAAAAGTGATGTCTAGAGATAAATTACATCGCGTTAATAAATTTTTATACGTATAACCGCATGATGATCCAATTTCGCGACCTGGTCACGTCTGCTATTAACTGTTATCGACAATTGACCCTTGATATCGCTAATGTGTACTTTACAAGCGTTGTAAACCGACAACCGAATGTTGAACACTCCGTTCTATTTATGATTATAATAAAGAGAAACGAGAAAAGGAGCACAGGACGTAATTGTTGAAATTGTCGAGGGACAATTTATACGCGTATTCGTGGTGGCTTGCCGACAATACATTTTATTTACAAAAAGAGCAAGAGAAAGAAAAAAAGATAAATGGAAAGACACTTCCATGCCTGTTGCGAATTTTTCTTTGTATTAAACAAGAGCTATACTTGCATCGCATCACATCGATTCTAGTCTTTCTCATCGACACGATGTACGCGGTACGATCTCGTACGTAAGAATACGGATTAATTCGCGTGGATAATCCTCCAGAACTTGTATAGAGGCACATTACGATCGACTTTATACGAGACGCAGCGTTGTAACGTCACAAGTAAGTTGCTAAGTCCCAGTCGGACGAGATCGCGTCAATTCTTCTTCACTGGCCACTCACTTAAATAATCAGAACACTGTGATAATCTCTCGCGCGAGGACAAGGGAAAAAAAAGACTGATTAGGAAGACCCCAAATTTTATCACGACACGTATCCTTTTTTCAATCACTTTTTCCTACCCCTCACGAAAAACAAAAGTAAAAAATCATTTTTAATAAACAATGAGAAAGACGACTCGAGCATTCGCGCCTCGCTCTATCTCTCGAATTTGATACTTATTGTCATACAACGTCGTTGTCAGTCGCGTTTAAAGTATAGAAATACGTATTCTTGTTGGCGGAAAAAGATATCAGGGAAGAATGAATTGCACCAGATTGGCGCGATCTTTAAGTAATCTTAACGCCCGATCGAGCATGTCGCGGCCGTTATTCGGCTTGCTACCCGAGAGAAAGCCTTTACTGGTGAGAAAGCGCGTATAATCAAGATCAATCGCCCCTTTTCCTCCCCTCGCCCTCCTCCCCTTCCCACTCAATGCCAAATTATTAGTAAATTCCTCCCTCATTAGTCTAGTGAATGCTGTAAGTACACTGTGTTAATAAATAACTCTGAATCCGAAATGCGCGTGTGTTCCCTTATCATTCTCTCGCATCCCGACGCAAAGATCTTGACTAGATTCCGGCATAATTAGTGAATTAATTTATCGAATAACACTGATTTTGATAACATTTAAAACTATTAATTTTTTGTTGCGTGCAGGAAAGAATTAAAGATTAGATTAGCGACGACGGAAAATTTGCCGTAGGCAGCTCTGCCAGTTTAATTGATCACCAATTAAGTTAATCGGCCGTGGTCGTTTTAACTGTCAAGTAACATCTATACCGGTTTTTTAACATAAATAGAATTATTAAACGACATAAATTATATTTATTATACCAACAAAAATTTTACCATGAGCAGTTCCGCCGATTAAATTAACTCCGTCAATTAAAGTTAATCGATGTTTGAGCTATTATTGTCTGAAAATAGAGTGAAAGAATGAAAATCGTCTTAGAATGCCATATCAATTTTTTAGCACAAGAACAAATTTGTGGAGAACAAACAAACGATTCATTACTTTGAAAATTTTCAGCGTCCATTTTCTTAAAGCGTCCAGTCTTTACGCAATTATGCTTATTTTTAATGTAACAATAACAGCCTCGACCAATCTTGATTACCTATTCGAAAATTGAAATCGATTATTTACGGAGATCGACGACTATTCCGGGGTTCTACAGCGGCCCGGTCGTGATAATGTGTGAAATAGATAATTAATCATTGATAACAATAAATCCACCGGTACGAATCTGAAATGCGCGGCTTTCAACGCGCACGAATCGCTCGTTCAGTCGTTCGTATCGCGGTTCACAAATCTTTTTGCCAATAAGTACAATCGTGGACAAATAGATTGCGACACTTTTTTTTATAGATTCCTAATATATATTTAATATATATAATATATATTTTGTAGATAACTAATATTTTGCGAAAACGAACCACGATTGATGTGCTATCTTTAGTTTAGAGACAGTACACCAATCGTAGTTCGCATTTGCAAAATATTAGTGCGTTTCAAAACTTATAAAAAAAAAGTGTCGCAACCTATTTGTCCACGACCGTACAATACCGTCCAGCGATCAGAGTACGGTGTATACGCGAAGTGTATACATAATCCTTGTCGCGTTTAATTAAGCAGTGAAACAATACCGAGATAAGAGAATGGCAGTCGGAGAATCCCGCGTCTCCCGGCCGGCGCGAAAATCGAACGACCTCGAGTTGACGCATTCCTATATGGACTTGCTGCGTTCCCACTGAGCGCGTCACGCGTCGCGTCGTCCGTCGCGTCACGATTAATTGACCAAAATATTCCATTTTATTGCATGATTTGCCGCGCAACTTCTTGCAAGACGCATCAATTAGATTATTCGACATTCTAGAGATAAAAGAATTTTTCTTGGTATGAAATCTCGGATTGCACGGCAAGTTACGCAATAAAATGGGATGTTTTGATTGGTCAATTCGGATGACGCGACGCGTGACGCGCTCAGTGGGAACGCAGCCTAAATAGACTGCGCGCTCCCATTGAAAACGTGAAGGCAACATCTGAATGAGAAATGGGAATATAGGAGGTTAGGTGCGTTCCTTGTACTTCAATTGCTGTGCTTTGCTTTCAGGTACGTTTTCAACAGGAGCGCGCAGTCTACCTAAGTCTATGGAGTTGTTGACGCATTCCTAACCTCCAACATGATGTCGCGAATGCAGGTTTTATACGATTTAACAGGAAATTCCATGAATTCTCGCGTTCGGCTAATCCGATAATAATCCGGATTAAGGATAGGGCCATCGTAAAACGAAATCGATTCGCACGTCGCTCGGTGCGGCCGGCTGAGACCAGCTGAGACTCATGCCTTGACAGCTATGGAGGATCAGATTCACTCGGAGTTGATTCTGAAGGAGGAGCAAGACGAGGACGAGATCAAGGAGGGCCGATGCTCCGCCGAGAGCGAGAAGAGCGTCACCCCCGGCGGGGCCTCGATCGGGATACGGCCGAAGCCGCTGATCTACAAGCCGGAGAACGTGAGCTGCAAGTCCGAGCCGATCGAGACGAAGTGGCACTGGGCGCCCGGAGCGTGGCAGGACGCGACCCGGACCAGCGCGTTTCAACCGTACAAGGTACTCCTCCCCCCCCCCAACCCTCCCCGTGAACTCCGCGGGACATCGGTATAGGCCTCAAGAGTCGGCGGATTCGCCCCTCATCGCGACGCAGAATCCATTGTGTAATACCGTCGTTCCCGTAGACCGCATATAACATTTGTATTTTTTTTAATACCCGAACGTATATACAAGATTATGTCTCGTCTATTCGCAGCCACCCACCCTGCTCACGAATTTGCAAAGAGGCAACACTCAGACGCAGATACACCAGCTCTACGTCGGCAACGACATCACGTTTCACACTTTGGCAGGTCAGGGGGAACTCACGTCCGATCATATAAACCCAAGTAAATTATGTACCCTTGTATATCTTATTTTTTTAATTGACGTGTGTACAAATATTATAAAAAAATATATAATCACTGCGCAGGTACAGTGGACAAGATCGATGAGAAGGGTCTAACGGGCTTGATGTGGGCCTGCGCTTACGGACAATTGGGTAGCGCTAGGCAATTGATCAAAAAGGGCGCCAGTATTAATCATTGTGGACCAAACTTACAGACCAGTCTGCACTACGCGGCTGTCTACGGCCATCACGACGTTGTCAAATTATTGTTGAACAATGGCGCTGACCCTAACGCATGCGACGAGGTACTTACACACGCATCTTCTTTACCTAAACTTAACATGTCCAGCACTTACGTGTCGTATAATAATATTTTCTCATTTTTGTGACAGGACGGTAATACTCCATTAATATATGGAGCATTTTGCGATCACCCTCACGTGTGCTACGAGTTGTTAACAAAAGGCGCGGAAGTGACAATTAAAAATTCCGCAGATGTAAACGCTTATATGGCGGCGATTACGAATAAGTCTATGAATGGTAAGTATGTTCTTTCAAAATCATTTCTTAAAGTATGAAAATAGTCAATTTGATTTTTATTAATTTGCAGCTAAAGCGGTTATTGAGAATCACTTGATTCCACAAATTATAAATATACCAACGGATGAATTATAACGATATTTGTATATTGTGTACGTTTTTACAAGTTGTAAATAAATATTAAGAAACAGCAGTATATATTTGTCGTCTAACTATAAAAAAAATTTCTATATAGCATGTTTTTAACGATAGTGCTAATAAAAAAAAAGAAGATAGCGATGCATAGCATGCTTTCCGAAGCAAGGTACATAAACTTACGAACGAGTAACAAAATTTGATATATATATATTTGGTAATAATACAATCCTTTGCAGGAGCTATTGCAATACTAAAATATATGTATCGAGTAGAAAGTAAATACGATAAATTTGCGTGTATGAATCGTAACTAAGTTTAGTCCAATTAAAATAGATCTTTTTTTTTTTTACAAATGTGTATAAGTATTCGGCACCGGACAGCTATTAAATAGCATATTAAATTGATACATGTACATAAATATAGCAAACGACACATATCAATGCTTCCATTGGATCACGTAAGGAATGGCTGTATGGCAATAAAATTAAAATTCAAGTAGTCAAATCTTGATTGTTAATCATAACATTATGCTGCCTCCCCAACTGAACTGTGCCTATTTTCTTATGTTCTTATATGCGCAAATACTTCATCTATTATCCGTTATGTCTTATACAACTTCATAATTATCGGTGAAGAACACAGTTTCTACCGAATACTTAACTGGGCTCTCATCTTCTACAAGCAGAACTTCGCTAACCTAAAAAATGAAAATGGCACAAATTATTTTTTTTTTATTTATTATGTAATGTAATTTGCACGGATATGCGGAAATCCGCGTGTTCTGTACCTTGATTTTGGCATACGGCATTTTAGATGTAAACGAAACGTGAAGTGGGAAAAAATCGGCAGGTGTAGAAGACGGGGCGGAAAATTCCATAGAGCCTGATTTCGTTGAAGCATCGATCACTGGTAAGGACCAAACTAACGTGTTCCGCCGTGCCTCGTGTGTGTACTGCCCGTCGCACTCACTGACGATAGGATTGCATCCAATAGGTAGAGGAATGTTTATTTGGACGTCGTTCAACTCGAGGTCGGCCTGTTCCAACTCGTATTCGATATTCACGTCGCAGCCGCCTTCTCCGTTTTCAGAAGGCCAGCAATTTACTATTACAAACAGTTAATTAAATATGTATATTAGTGAATTTTATAGATAAAAAAAAAAGTTAAAATTAAAATCATATGTGACGAATATTATGGTAGTCACTCACTTGAAATGGGCAATGCTGTTTCGTCTTGGGCTTGGAAACGCCATTTCAGCACACCGACGTCAGTGTTCAGTGGGAACGGTTTCGTGGGTACTTTCAGCCCTATCTGTCCATGCGCTCTAAACAATTCCTTGTCCACGTTTGGATGAGTTTGCAATTGTATCCCTCTCGTGTCCCCGTTCTCAACTTGCACGCGAATACGTCCCCATTTCTCGTCGGAGATGTGCAGGGTCACCAAGCCGTGCAACTCGAAATTTTGTAGACCTCCATCCCGGCCGACGCGCACATTAAGTCGCTCTTCTTGTCTCAAGTGAACCCTTTGACGGAAATGTATTTATAAATAATTCGTTCGCAAGTGATTTTGACACACTGCTACAAGTCAATACAATCACGTACAATTCTGTGTTGATTATCTGAGGACTAATTTGTGGCAATTTTGTTCCAGGAGCGGCAAGCGGTCCCGATACGACATTTTCTCCTTCCTCCTTTAATTGATCAACGAATGAATCTACATCGCGCGACTTGCCACCTAATTTCATTGCACCCGGTCCAGCGTTTACTGGTTTCCTGATAAAAGATATTCATTTATATTTCAAAATGTTTGCAAATATAATTGTAATCAAGAGTAAAATATATATCCATACTGCTTGGGCTTGTAAGAAGGTCTAATCGGTTCAGGCACAAAGTTAGCTGTATCACCAACAGCCGGGGTAACTGGGGTGCTACCGCTTCCGTATCCACCGCCAAATCCAGGACTTTTAACTCCGCCTTTCTTATTAGCCTCCATCATCCTCTGCCTCTGCAGCTCCTTGGCCTTCTCACGCATTTTATTCTTAGCTTCACGCTCCTGTGTCTTTCGGACTGCTTGATAGACCTTCTCCTCATGCGAATCCATTTCCACAAAGGTTCTGATTTGTGCTAAATTGACATTTTCCCTATAGCCTAGCGCAACTATTTCGTCAAATGCAAATATCAAATTGAACGCGTTCTCCGTTATTTCAAGTTCATCCATCGAGCTGCAATATTCTGGAATCTGTAAGAATCAAATATCACTGTGTGTGTGTATATACTTAACACGCACACATATATATTTATACCTAATACAAGTATAAGGATACTTTCACGATTCATCGATGTATCTACTTACTACTCTCGCAAAGAGCCTCAAAGTTTCCAAATCCTCCAAAATATTGCTGGCCTTAGTCGTGATGAGCAGCATGTATACTTTCTCAAGAGGTTGATACACGTATCTCACAGATTCCGTTTCCACAAACGTGTGCTGCTTACCCGAGCTCATTAGTTTCGGGAACGCAGCAAGTAGGCCTTCTATCCTCGCCTTTGTCATTTCGACGAACTGTCGAGAAATTATGGCTGGAAGAGCAATGCAAAACGTGAACCGATGAGACCAGCGAATATTTTTTCGAGTCACTCAATTCTATCGGGTAGAAAAAAAATTCAAGGAGGCAGAAAATTACTTTCTGCTTTCCTTTACAATCGACCGGCTGATACTCGTTCCTCAACAAATGGAACGGATTGTGGATTACGGACGTGATGTAAAGATATCATGTGATTAGTTCAGCCGGGCGAGACACCGTGAAAAAAACGAGACACGCATACGCGACGCGGCGCGTTCGACGACGCAAGAACGTTTTGCGAACTCACTTTTTCCTGCTTTGGTGCATACCGCAGCGGCGATGAGTACCTGAAAAAAGAAAGAAAGAGAGCGTGCGATGCCGCATAAATTTGGCTGGTGGTAGCCGCGGGATTAAATGCCTGGCGGCCACACACGCCGCTAAATGGATGACATCTGCGGGACCGATGTCACGGGCTGGAGCGGTTCCGCCGCTCCGGGGACTCGCTTTTCGGGGCGCGGGATCTTGACAGCGGCCCCACAGCCGCGGAGAACGACCACTTACCATCCTGGCGAGCGATTCCTGGCTCAACGCTCCGTGCACGCCCCGCGAATTTAGTCTAAACGCACTCCTCGTCGAGCCGACCAGCTCTCCACATCACACATATACAAATACACGAAGAAGGGGAGCAGAGGGCGCACTGTGCTGACGTGTGCCATGATGAAAGACGTCTCGCGCCACGGATTACGAGAGTCGTGTAGTCGGAAACACCACTGACGAGCACTCGTAGATCACGTGGACGCGTGATGCAGCTTGTCAAACGTCGACCAATCACGTCGCTGGAAGAATGCATCGCGTTGTCCAGAATGAGGCAGGTACATACATATTCTCGAAAAATTACGTATTAGAAAGTAAGGAAATATACTTTCAAATGCGTAATTTTTCGAGAATAGAGCCCCATGTAGACTCGAAAAGTGGATTTAGTACGCACCACAAATTGTGCAGAAAACTGGATTTTGCTACGTAATTTTGATCCACTTCTTCAGAGGACGTTAGTGCACGAGGACATTCTAGCGTTACAGCCAAGAGGCCGGCATGCGCTTTCGGATCCTCTCTGGTTAGACATATAATCGCTTAAATTATAATTTCTGTGACTGTGAGATGCGCCGCATCTCAAGAAGTCTGTAATATCTGTGAACTCGTCTTGATTTGATTTCGAGAGCGTGCGACAGAGGACACCACCGAGCCGAATAGCAGCCGGCAGCGACGCTGTTTCGGTGGTTTATGGAGAGACGAAAGGGCGGCCGGCGGGCGCAATTTCACGACGGTGAAAGGACTTCGCTATTCGGCCGCGTGGAAAGAATATTAAATGGTAAATGCGCGTTATACGGTAATTATACGTTCCGGAGTCTCTCAGAAGTTGAATTGATCAACTCCACTTCTTGTGAATCTCTTTGACAGTTTCTGATTGAGGCTCATATAAATTCCCGTATATATTTTACACGCACGAGTGACGCAAAGAAATGTTTAGAAACAACTAAAAATTATTGTTCAGATTTCCTTTCTGATTCGATCGTTACTTTTTTGCTTTTTTTTTTTAATCATATTGTTATGCTTATTTGAGAATAGAAAATCTAGGAGATCTAGACTACTTAACTCTTCAAAAGCGAGTAATGTTTTCTATTGATTCAAATATAAAACATTCAGTTGCGCGTCTCTATAATTAATGCTTGATACGCCATTTTTTACTTTAAATGCAAACTTCAGGTTGTCCGCCGCGCCCTCCGCCCATCCGCCGGGAGTTCCAGGACTTTTTCTTCGAACTTTCGAACTTGACGCACGTCTTCGCGAATCTGCGACGAGGGAATCGATCGTTAAATCGATCGCGCATGGTTGATTAGCTATCGATTCATCATACCGACAGCAGCGTACCGGCAACGAGCAAGCGGCGACGACGAAGGGGACGCCGAAGACGTCCCGCTCGTGGAACAGCCTCGTCAGGTACACACCGCCGTGCGGTAATTTAGTGGCGACCATTATCGCTTTTGTACGCATTCGCCATTCGCCGGCGTCGCCTCGCGTCGCGTTTCAACGGCTGTAGTCAACGCGGAAGATGAACGGCGCGCACCGTTATTACGTCGCGTCTATTCCGGCCGCGTTTCCACTCGGCCGAGCTCACGTTTCCGCTGTTCCCGCCTCTTCATTGCGGTCCCCCTGCGGTCCCACTTTACCGTAGAGGTCCCTCGTTTCTCGCATGCCCGCTGTGGACCGCGCGGTCGCCGGTTTGAGTCCTCTCGGGAAGAACTGTATGACGGCAGCGCAACGAGGAGCGCGAGCGAATTAAGAGAGTGAGAAAACGGAATTTGCTTCTTTTTCTTTTCCCGACTGGAGATCGGTCATCGAACAGGAATTCGCTCGAGGAAGCAGATTCACGCGAATTAAATTAACTAGCCTGGAAAGACACAACGAGGGATGATTTGCAGAGGCACGAGCTAGGATGAGTCCGCTGTCTCGTTGAAATTCGGCTCTCACGAGCCTTCCGCGAGGCTCGGACGGCGATCGTTGTAATTAATTTACGGCGCTGCTCCTTTCCCGTGTCTCACGGCGTTATTACTACATATAACCGCTGTCGGCAACAGAAGCTGCCTGGCGCGGTCGACGAGTGGCTTCTAAAGGGAAATTAAGCCCCGGGTGTAAGCGGTTAACAAAGAAATTAATGTGCGTATATCGCACTCGTACAGTGCCCGCCAAGCTATAGGTATCTGCGGAAAGAGGGACCGAAGTAGGGAACGGAGGGGCGCCGAGGGCTCCCGAAGGCGGTACCGCCGGTTCACCCAATTAGCTCCCGAGCTAATTAGACCTCTACGTGCCTTAATACGGGCACTCTTTTGCGAGCGTGAGCGCGAACGGCCATCTTGATAACAAGAAAGACCAACCCTCGTTCTTTTTTTTTTTTCAGGTCATGCAGCGCGGGTCGGGCGGCGCGGATTAAGGAAACACGCTGACTCCGCGGCTGTCCGTCGCGGTTTTCCGTTCCTCGCGGGAGGGACCTCGAAGTCGGGCACCGTGGGACGAAACGGCATCGGGACGATCGTCGCGTTAATCAGGATACGACTACGGGGACGCAGCCGATCGGTGAGTGAGCTTTACGTTATTTGCACGAGTCATCGTTTTCTCGTCCGCGCACGTAACAGATGGGCGAGATAACCGACTGCTCGGGAGCCCGCAATATAGCTCGCTCCGACATCTCACCGTTTATCCCATTGAATCCTCGAATTTCTGTATAACCGCGAGCATAACGCTTGAGATATATTTAAAAGCTATCGTACAAGATTATTTCGCCCGCGTTGTACATATAACGTATATATTTGCGAAGATTAATGTCTCCTGTCTTTTCTCGGAGAACGAAAGGAAGGGAGTTTTCCTTTCCTTTTTTTTTGTACATTCTAAATTCACATTTCTCGACGCCGCGCTGCGAGGATCAGCGTCGCTGATATGTCTCCGTGAAGAATGAAAAGAATAGGGTTTACATGTTATACGACGAAATTTTTTTTTTAAATGCCACATTTGATATTCGCATAAAAATGAAATATATGTAACTTTCACGTATGCGCGGATTTTCGTTTTGCGTTATTACGGTGGCATGTATATCAAAGGAGAACAAGTCGCGATATCGAGCGACGCGGCGCGGCGGGGCGCTCAAAGGGATTCGAATATCCCGCTTTGAGGTATAGGCGCTACATCTCGTTATCAACGTCATATGTTTTATCGCTCCTTTGAATCGCGTGCATTTATCCTGATAAGTTGGAAACTCCGCGAGTCCGTCATCGTGAATTTTTTTCCGCGTCAGAGATTGCGCTAGCCGCGTCAGAGCCGCGTTGTCTGTGCGCGCGGTTTTTTTATTCTTTATTTTTTTTTTTTTAAGGAAATGCACCGGTATTAGCGTAATATCAAGGAAAAATTCAGCGAGATAATACGGGAACGCGATAGTGAGCTCGGAGCTGTATCGGAAATATAAGCCGGGGAATTTCGATGGAAGCTCGTTCGACGCTTTTCACGACGCTTGTTAAAATTAACGGAATCTCGGGCTATTTTACGCGTTTGCGTTCAAATCGGTTTCTTTGGATTAAAATCAACGCGTGCAGGCTATATAGCCACGTCCCTTTGTGCGAGAATTACCATTTCCGGTGTGCCATTTTTCCTCGCCGGAATCGCACCGGTACCGTTTCTCCTCTCGAAAGAATCGCACGTACGCGCCGTTACAACCGGCGACGGGGATAAATTTCGATAAGAAAACCCGTGGCGTTATCGCGACAATTCTCGGGGCGTCCGGAGGTGTAAGCGGGGGGGGGAGGGGGTAAAACAAAATCGCCAAAGATAAACGGCACCGTACGTCATACGGCGGCCGGATATGATCACGAAATCCGCGCTTTCAAATGCAAATGTAACGGACCGCCACGAAGCGGGGACAATCGCGAGCGGGAGCGCGCGCGCGACCGATATTTACTGCTGTTTACCGCAAATTTATTTTTGCGCAAAACAGAGTTTTCCGCCGCAGCGGCGCGTTGTTCCATCAGAAACGAGATTAATATACGCGGAGAAATCTGCATCGCTCTATCCTCTGCACTGCCACACTTCATTACTATCTTGGTTATTTGCAGACGGTTATTTACAGACGCGCGTCTCTCGCGTTTCGGACGTAAAATTACCATCCAATTTTTAACGTATCGTTTACTTTGCAATGGACGATGCAGTGCCGTTAATTGTCGACGAATGCTCTGCTCGTGTCTCGTTAAATTAAATTCCTTCGCATTATAGACTCGATCGTTAGAAAATATCTAATACGCTTGTATCGCCGTCTCGGTGTATAATTGCCGCATTAATATATCGTAACCGCGTGTGTCTTCCCGCTGTTGTATCTCATCGCGGAATTCCTCATTTGTGATTGATATCATGTAAAAAGTATCATTACTGGCAATTCCCGCTTCGACGTTCTTACATGCGATTGCGTTACGCGATGTTATTATTGCAAATATTATGGAGTCAAGAGATCAGACGTAATTACTGCACTCGCCAGGCAAATACTAATATCGCTTGCGTGTAATTATCGACGCGATTGAATTAATTATTAATCGCCTGGAAAGATGTCGGGCAGCAGCTGTTCTTAATTAAACGTCTCGACAATATCTTGACAATAACATATTTCTCTCGACCTAGTAATCCAAATTATACAATTTATTTTTGAAGGTTGAGTGAAATTTTGCGACGTATTTACGTTAAAATTAATTTTTTTATATGCCTATAAAGGCATATAAAAAGACTTTACTTTTATGATTTATTTAATTTTTTTACTTGATGAAATTGCTATATCGATTTATGTATATGTCTATACTTTAGCTAATTTAATCTGTGGTAAAGTAGCGGCTTAAAGAAAAGTTTTATTCTCTATTGTTGAGTTAAAAGCGCTTGAGCACAAATTTACTTAGAGCTTTATAAGGCTGTAAACGAAGTCGCTGGGAGATATTCCGGTGACACAGGCGAAGTTGGTACGTAATCTTATTAAACGGATGGGAGTTTACTGTTGAATGCACTAGATGTAGGTCAGTGGTTTTGACAAGGCCGACAAGTCCGAATTCGAGAGGGTCGCATAAACACGCGCGCACCCCGGTTACCGCGCAGGGTTTTGCGGTTGAAGTTGATCAGTTTTACCGTAATGAAAAGATTTAGTGCTTGAATGTATCCCACGTCGATCATTAAGTTAAGGCCTTGCAACGCGCAGAAACGTTCCCCTAATGACACGCTCGGATCTCCGGATAAATTAATCTCCCCGCGAACGGTGTCGTTCGGTTATCAATGTCTCCTTTCTCTCTCTCTCTCTCTCTCTCTCTCTCTCTCTCTCTCTTTCTCTCTCTCTCTTTCTCTCTCTCTCTCTCCCAAAGAGATGCGTAGGATTTCCAGGTCGGGCAGGATAAATCCCTTCTCCATCTTCGCTCACTCCATCTCTCGAATCCGGATGGCCCGCCCGTCCGGATCTGATTAATTGAGGGTCGCGCGAAACGATCAATCGCTTGGCAAGGACAATGGCGAATGCGTGAGCCCGTATTGACTGATGATCGTCAGGAAGCCTGACCGAGTTTGCGCCGATTCCGAGTTCCAAACTTAGTGCACGAATTTCGTCGTCGAGACACGTGCCATTAGATCTAGGCTTTGTTCCCCCTCTTGCTCCTTCGCGAACAATGAACAGCTTTTTGTGATTAATGAGCGGCATTTAACGAAGGCGTCGTTCCAGGCGCGCTATCTCTCAAGCTTCCCGGTTTAATTGTCTTCACTTGATTAGAGTTACATAATCAGGTTGTCGGTATGAAATTGTAGCCGGCGGTAATAATGCGACAAAATCGCGCGATATTTTATGTAAAAGTTCACAATAGCTATGACACTTAATTTAACGGGGAATTACATTCAGATTTTTAATTAAATGTGAAATACTAGCGTAAATCTAATCAATTACCTTTGTTAATGAGCATTTTAAATTTAATTATTCGTTTAATTTTCTCTCTCTCTCTCTCTCTCTCTCTCTCTCTACCTCTGAAAACATTTTTAATCAAATACAATTTATCGCCACAAACGCTATGATTTCGATTTATTTCGACAACACCCAATTTGGCTTCTTAATTAAACAGTTATCCGATTCTTACTCGCCACGCCATTTTTTATCACGCCGTGATACATATTTTCCGCTCATAAAACTTCGTATTTCTTCTCTCATTCTCTCTCGACTATTTTATTTTTCGGTGTCGCTCTCGATTTATGAGAGTTCTCCTTCCGTACTTTCCGGCCTCCTTTTCCCCGTACGAGGATTCCCGTCGCGATATCGTGGTCAGTGATGGGGCCGCCTCTTTCAGCCGGGCACGAGTTCTTCCACTTTGCTAAGCGAGGGTTCGCGCCACCATTTGTCGGACCGTCCATTCATCTGTCCGTCGGTGGTCGGTCGGTCGGTCGGTCGGTCGGTGGGTTCTCTACGCCAACGTAGAGGCGAG